TTGTGATGACTTCCAGTCCCAGAACAGGAACAACCAACCACCCAACAGCTCCAGCTCCGGCATGCCAGCGTCCCAGGCGGGGACGTTTCCAGGCAGGGCTACAGCCCCACGGCGTTGGCTTCCGCCACACACACATTTCCCAAGCACTGCTGCACCGCGGGCAGCGTGCGCTTGTGGACTGCATCCTTAAGAAGGGTGCATAAGTATAACCAAGAATATCCAAAGTAACGTTTTCCAAAACACTTGTTAGCACGATCACATTTCTGTTCACCCAGTTACAGGCTAAGGATTAGAAATACATGTCATTTTCCTGGTAATACGTATTACAAAACTTAGAAAACTCGCAGAAGAGAATTGGCTCATTTATAACCCCCCTAAAATCTCCTGAAACTCCCAAAAAGCTAAACCATCATAATGGTTGTTTCAAAGATAATAACAAGGCTTATGGCTATAGTTAGCTTCCATATATATTTACTTTTTTTACCCACTTTAGGATATAAACTATTTGGATTCTTTTTGGGAAAAAAAAAGTCAAGCTTGAAAACCAAAGAGTCTAAACACGTATGTTCTAGCAGACCTGTGCAAGAAAATGTCTAAATACCATTTTGCAGAATGTGTCAGTATAGAGCATATCTCATTTGCCCTTGTCACTCTGAAAATGATCTTGAGAAAGCAGCGCATGCAGGATTTGTTTCACTGCATACAAGCGAATTTGAGATCATGGTACATCAGTTGTAGCCAGCAACTTTTAGTGAAAGTTCAATGGCAATTTCCAGGAATTTTAATGGCAGTCAATAAATATCTTAATACGAATAACATATTAAGTGAAAGAAAATGTCAGTAATTAAAAAGCCAATGATCCGAGGTTAGATGTAATCCATTCAGGTTGCTCTGGAACTCCAGAGATGTCATCCATATATTAGATCCAGAAAAGGTTAGTTTGTTTGCCTTCGTTATACAGTATACTAGATACAGTAAAGAATTCTGTAATTGATTTAACAATAGAAATTGGCAGAAGTACAAAAGCCATTCCTCCAGTAAAGAGAAATGTATTTGATTTTTCAGCATATTTGAGCTTAGTCTTTAAGAAGCTTTCATGCAGAGCACAACAGCAGTCCCATTACTAGTTCACCACCAAACTCTAGAAATCTCTCTGAACTATGTGCCCCATGAAGCAGCTACTGGAGGAAAAGAAACAAAAAGCGAGAAATAAAGAAAAAAAAGAAAAAGCTCAAGCAACAACTACTTAATTGACCTTAACATTTGGTCACAATGTAAAACAGAACAATCTGAAAACATGCTGCACTAAAAGAAATCTAAGGCAAAACTATTTTTACATTTACGATGCACTTTTTCCCCAGAGAGCTTTCAAAGGCTATTTACCTAAATATATTAATAGGGCACAGTACTATGCGATGCATACAAAAATTTTAGAAACTGGGTTAAATATTTACCAGGTGATATAGGTCTGCTAGAACTTGGTGAGGGTGTATAAGGGATAGGACTGGACACAGTGCGAGGTCTTAATCCTTGTGCAGACATCTCATTAAAATATCTAACAAAAAAAGGTAAAGAATAATTAGATTACACCTTTTAAAAAGCGCCATGCTTTAAATGCTTCACTGTGGCATTTTCAATTCCCATAAGAATTACATTAGATTAGCATTGGACCAATCACCTTTAGGAAATTATGACAGGAATACCCTTTTCATTGCTGAAGGTGCAAATACTGGCTTAATTTGCTATGGAAATATCTGGACTTATCTTAGTCATCTGCAGTTGAAACAGTACACATTGAACAGAGAACAGTATATATTAAGGCTAGAGGTATAAATCATGTTATACAAACCAGCCTATACTACTTTCTTGCATTTTACACACCACTTCTATCTTGAACTCTGTAGCTTGCCTAACTGGAGCATATCTTCCAGAAAGACTACCAGCTAACTTGTAATCACACAGAGGTGGAAATTATCCTCTCCCTGATAATTTGTTCCAACAGCAAGTCCACCTCGCAGTTAAAAACATCCTATGTGATATATGAATTTGTCTGGCTTCAGCATCTAGCTGTTTGCTCATCATGCTTTTCGCCACTCGAACAGAGCGCTGTTTTGAACACAGTGCATTTTCCCTCTAGAGATATAGGGGGTACAGCAAGACAGTTCTGAAATTTCTTTTTGATGAGCTAGCAAATCAGAGTGGCAGGCAAGGCATTTAACCTCATCTTTATCACCACCATTGGTATTGGTTTGTATCTTCTTCACCACTGCATATAACAAATCAGTCATCAAGTGCTATTCCTGTCCTGCAGAAAAGGAGGTTAAAATCTTATCATTTGCCTCTATTTGCCACTTACTTTAAGTACAGAAAGTAAGTTTCTTCCCCACAACACTATGCTGGCAGTCCTCAGGTTGTGGCTTATGTACCTTTCCCCTAAATTTTTCATAGCCTAGATTAGAGCTCCCACCTCTGTTCACCTTTTCTTGCTGATAAAGTTGCAAATTAATACTGCCAGATTTACACTATTACATTTAGCTCTATTTTGTGCTGGACACAGTTAAGCTACAGATAGAGCTATCTTCCCAGCTGTTCTTCACTTCATTATCTCCATCCACGACTGTTTCTCACAAATTTTCAGCACCTACATTTATTTCCACATCTCAGGAGAAAGGAGAAAAAGAAAAAAGAAAGGAAAAAAAAAAAGGAGTAACATTAAAAATATTTCTGTTTGACAGAACAGACCATGATGACTTTGAGGTCTGTGACCAGTTCCTAAACGGTCAGATAGATGCCTAAGCAGTCCTTTTATGATTTAACCTTATTTTATTTTCTACAGAGAAAGTTTTCCATAGCAGTCATCCTTGTTACCTGGATTACGTCATATGGACTAGCAGTAAATCATTAGTATGCTTCCTGGTTTTAGAAATTTCCCTATTACTCCAGAGAATAGAACGGAGGCTTGAGAAGACAAAGCAATTGCTAGTCTGGAGAAAAAAAGTTTTGGGAGAATTGCGTATTTCACATTTGTTAAAGCATCTTCATCTACCCCCATCTACACTGATGAAAATAAGTATCATCAACTAAGAGAATGTAACAGACAAGTTAAAAGAAGAAAATTTTTTCAAGAAGAAAATGCAAGCTGACAAAAATTTCAAATCAAACTGCATATTGTTCCATTGTCTTTCCCCTAAGAATTATCCATTCCAATATTGGTTTTCTGCTTCTTCTTTAGTTTACTTTCTATTAAACATGATGCAACCTGTTTGGGAGGGATTTTGCCACATCTTTGTAGTACCAAGGAAATTAACAAGACAAAATTCTTACAAATATACAGTACTTAACCTTCCTACTGTGTTTTATTACTACCACTACAACTTGATTGATGGTTGATGAAAAACACTTAGCATAGCCCATTCTTTCTCAGCAAACACTGATATTTCACATAAATTCAGATTTGGACTAAGAGTTCAGAAAAAAAAACACAAGCCAATTATTTGTTTTAGCATTTCTATTACAATAAAAATATTAGCAGAAAACATCAGGATAATAAAAGTAGACTCTAACATCAGAATCCTGTATTTCTAACAGCCGTTTAATTTATACAGCTCTCACTAGTACACAGTGAGCCAGCATAGTACCAGCTGTTACTGCAATAAATGTCAGTTGCCCAGTATTTCATTAAAAAGAAAACACTGCCTTGAATTCTTTTTGAGGGTACTCCTTGAAACAAAATATCTGATACTTGGTTTCCTGATTAATTATGTGTGATAACAAATAACCTAGTGACCCAAGAAAGATAGATCTGGATATCATAAGAATATGCAGCAAGGCATAACTTTATCCTTCTGGTTCTTTAGAGGATCACTATAAACGCAAAATAATGTAGAACAGTACAAAAAATGTGAGCATTTGATAAGAAATGAGAAAGTTTTATTCAAAACGTACTAAAAACCTCTTTCAAGACATAACACTGTCATATCACTATGACGTGAGGAAATACTGAAAGGCATCATATAAAACCATGAAAAGTTCAAGACCATCTGTAAGGTCAGTGCAATGAAGCTCGCTATAGGGAAAACAACAAGGATGTTGCAAACATAACATATGATGCATAATAGGGACAGCACATCAAGAACAAGCCAAGAGCTCTGGAAATGCTTCCTTCTCTCTCTCTTTTTCTTTATATAGTACTTTCCTTGGATTTAGCTGAGATTCTCAATACTACCACATTTTACTTTCTGCAAAGGACAAATTAGTCCCAGATAAGGACATTGTTCCTACCTACCTCTCAAATTTTTGGCATTTACAGGCTTAGGGGTAAAACAAAAGTAATTATCATGAACTACAAATCCACAGATCATTTAACTTCTATGTACAGTGAACCTATAAGTAGGTTATATCTATAATTCTATAATATTCTATAATATTCAGAAAGAAGCACGGGTATTGGTTCATAAGCTTGATGATAACATATCTGGATGGCTAGAAAATACAAACCTTTCATCGTCCATTTCTAAGCTGGATTCGCTCTCCGATAGTTGTCTGCAGAGTGCTTCCCTGCGTTCCATCTCCCTCTGCAATTTTCTTTGAAGCCTCAAATTTTCTTCTCTCATATGACGCTCCTCTTCCAAATATTGTGCCATCTTTTCTGAATCTGATTAAAATGAATTTAAATTTGATTAAAATTCCATTTTAGAAAAAGGAAAATGATTCTCTTAAGTTTACCTAAATACATTAAGAATGAGGGTGTGGAAAGTGCCCAAAATTGACAATTCAAAAATCTAAGTCCACTTCAAAGTCTAATTCAGAATGGTGATTATTAAAGCAAATTAGTGCCTGATAACAAATTGAGAATAAAGGTAAAAAGAAAAAGGTTTTGTGTACTTAGAGAAACAGATTTGTAAAGCAGTGCAAAAGCTCATAAAAATAGTAAAACCAAGCTATAAGGAAAAAAAAAATCCCACACACATTCCTGCCCTTTTGAAAAATGGGAATGTTATGTTTACAAAGATTTTACAATAGGGAAGAAACTATATTAAAGGTGTATTTTTTGCTTTTCAGACAAGCAAGCACAAAACAAGCTCTGAAAAATAAAACTCTCAGACTTAAATTGCTGCTTATAAATACTTCTCAGGATGCTTTCACTTGCACTTTATGATAGTAATTGGCCAGAAGGACACATAACAGTATTAAAAGCCAACAAGTGGTTTACTCTTTATATCAGTGGGCTTTATACCAATTGACTTTGCAGTTCTAAACCAAATTCGCAGACCTCACTTAAATAGAGAATAAGTGGTTAAATGCAAATTTGAAAGCTACAAAACATTTTGACAGATTGTTTAAATAAAATGGAACACAGATTTATTACATATAACATTCTGCAAAGCTTTCTATAATTGATCAAATGTACAGGCTATTCTTTAATATTTAAAAAAGTATGACCATTTTGGTCATTTCGTTATGCATCATCTTTCAATTGAAAATGTATTCTTGTTTTAGAATCCCATTCCCAAGCCAGTAAAGTACAATTTATCTCCAATTCCAGGGAAATAATACTTCTTTTCAAATGTATTTCTCTCCACTCTGTGGAAAAATCCCTTCTTCCCAAAAGTAGAGGTATTACTTATTTCCAAATGATTTTACACCAGTACAATTCCGAGACAGAAATGCAAGTACTTTAGAAAAACAAAATGTAATATCAGTACCAGAATTTAATAAGCTGACTTTGGAAAGCGTAATCAATATTAGCAGCGGTTCTCTAATGACCACATACTGCAATCACTAAACTTCCTTTTGGAAAGTGTATTTTAATTTGATCTTCAGCTTGCAGGCAGCCCATAAATTAATAAATCAATTATTTATCAGTGTTGCTATAATTAATACACTTCTGTTTAATCTAGTCGTAAATAAGAAAGTACTCTATAGCTAAATCCCATTTTCAAAGAGATTTTGACTTAAAATGCTTCTAAAATTTTACTCTAAATCACAGTAATTCAACAAGAAATCACTTCAAAATAACAGAAGAACTTAAAAGTTAGCTAATTAGGCTAGACTGGCGCACAGATTGCTTTGTGTCAAAGACCCTGCTCTCATTCTGAGGTTCAGTAAGTGAAGGCTACAGTGCAAAATTGGCAAGAGCAGAGATTAGCATTCCTTATCTTCTTTTAACTGACACAAATTATTAATGCCACAGACTTGGACACAAGGTCTTTGCACAAGAGCATTCTCCCAGCATCTCTGCCTGTGAAGGCCGTTGCCTCTGCTAAGCTATTTCTCTAAAGACTAGCTGAAATATTCCAGGCGGCCTCTCGAGGAGAGCACATTAAAGGGGGAGAATATTCTCTGTTCTCCACCCTTGCAGATTTCTGTGTGGATCTATTTAAGTAGATACCTACTTATCAGTTAAAAGATAATGTAAGCTGTTTCTCTAAACACTAGCTGAAGTATTGCAGGAGACTTCTCAAGGATAGCCTACTAAAGGGAGGAAATATTGTCCCTTCTCTACCCTTCCAGATTTCTGCATCCATCTATTTCAGTAGATACCTATTAATCAGTTAAAAGATAATGTAACAGACCAGAAAGGATATTACTGAAAAAGGCATAACTGATGAACTTGAGACAGAAATTTTAGACTTAGCTGAGGAGATGA